GAATTTTTATTATTATTTTATTTATTCAAATTTAAGTTTAGTGTTAAGCTAAGTTCAAATTGATTTTCAGAAATATTTAAGGAGAATTTTTATTATTATTTTATTTATTCAAATTTAAGTTTAGTGTTAAGCTAAGTTCAAATTGATTTTCAGAAATATTTAAGGAAAATTTTTATTGTTATTTTATTTATTCAAATTTAAGTTTAGTGTTAAGCTAAGTTCAAGCTGATTTTCAGAAATATTTAAAGAGAATTTTTGTCGTTATTTTATTTATTCAAATTTAAGTTTAATTTTTAAATTAGAGATGTTTGAGTTTTTGAATAATTTTTTTCTTTTTTAATATTTTTTTAATATTTCGATGAATATATTTTTTCTTTCGCGATAAATGTTCTATTTTCATTGACAATTTTTTTTTATTCCGCAAGAATGAAACCGATAAAGCGATTATAACAGTTGTATAAATAATTTGTGAAACCAAGTCGTCCGGTGGAAGGTCAAGTTTGAGGAGAGAATTCAAAAGAAAAAAAGAAAAAGAAAAAGAAAAAAAAAAACTCGAAAAACTCGTCTGTTTTCTAGTTTCGATACCATTGATGTAACTTGTAACACTTGTATCTATGTATTGGAAGTGTGTAAAACAGGAATTTCGACTGGTTTATATGTCAACCGTTCAAGAATATCGACCTAAACACGAAATCTTATGAGAACATGAATTTGCCGGTCTGGTAAGATAATCGAATAATTCATTATCTGGTATTCAAGATCTCGTACTATTTATGACATATTCTTTCTCTCTCTTCGAAAACACACGCTTTCGATATTAATGGAAATTGGAATTCTTGAAATTTCTCATTATATATCGATATTATTCCGAAGTTGTATTAATAATATTCGTGATTATATACGATAAAGTATCGATACTCTCGTTTTTTACGTTTCTAATCCCGTGCTGTAATAAAATCGCGTAAACAAAAGAGAAAAAAAAGAAAAAAGAGAAAAAAAAAAAAAGAAAAATATCACACCATATATGAATCGAGTATATCGTATTTAACAATCCCTGATTGTATACGATAAAATATCAGCATTCCCATTTTTTACCATTTTTAATCTTATATTATAATAAAATAAACAAAAGAAGTTATATCTGTGATTATACAAAATAAAATATCGATATTTCCATTTTTTGCTATATTTCTAATCCTATAGTATAATAAACTCGTGTAAACGAAAAAGGAAAAAAAAAAAAAAGAAAAAGATTTTGCACAACGATACATAAATATACATAAATATGTAAATCGAGTATAACAGTGTATATCCGTGATTGTTACGATATATAGAATATCAGTATTCTCATTTTTTACTCTATTTCTAATCCCATGCTATAATAAAATCGTGTATACGAAAGGAGAGAGAGAGAGAGAGAGAAAAAGAAAAAGATTTCGTACAAAGATACACGATATGTAAATCGCGTCTAGCAGTGAGCGTAATGTATGTCATATGTCGTATCTTAATACGATAAATAAATTTAGTATTAAAATTAGTTATTTCGTTCCATAATTTACATACGCTTTCGTCTTATAACCGGATCATCCGGGTTATATTATGTAAATTTGGGCGGGAAAACGGTATTTGAGTATATATATATATACAGTTGCGAAATGCACGTTTTCACTTTATCATAATATCTCGACGATATTTCCACGCGAGATATTGAAATTTATTCGAGTTACGAGGAACAGTCATCGGGAAAGTGAACGAGACTGAAGTACCGAGCGCATCAATTAACACATTCATAATATTCACGTCAGTAAAATTTCATTTCCGTTTTCCTGTTTTCCAGATTTATTTTATTTTATTTTTTTCCCCCACTTTTTATCCTCGTCTCTTTCTTATCGCATATTTCTATCGTGCTATTTGTATAACATAAAAAAGAAGAAGAGAAAGTATATCATTATCAAAAGATAATGATATAATTCTTAATATCTTAAATTATAATTTAACAGTCTTGACAGAGTTCATCATCAATATGGCTCGATTATAATAAGTGAATAAAATTTTATAAATGCAAAAGCGTGCAAAAATGTGGACAATATCTGATGCGATTAACGATTATAATTTAAATATCTTTTACGAAAGTAAAAAAGTTTCAGTAAGCGGAAATAGGTTCTCAAATTCAGAAAGAATAAACACCGTAGCAAATAAAAATGATAAGTCGTTACTTCCGACGTAACGAGGATGAAGAAAGAAAATTATAAGGATAATAAGTGACACGAAATCATCAAGTATATAATATACGGTTATTATTTCTTACCTATGACGGTTCCCTTTTTAATCTCTCTTAAAAAAAGTGAAATCGCGATTCACTTGGAAAGCGGTCCACAGAATTGCAGGTTATGCGAAATTTCGCAAAATTTCCCGAACACATCTCCTTCGATGTCTTCAATACAACCTGTAACAAGGAAAATCGCAGTCGAGGGTATCGCAAACACACTTGTTTCAACCTAATCGATTGCAATTGAGATTTTTTTCTTTTCCTTTTCTTTCAAATATTTATCCATCAGCGTACAACAACTTCGATTGGAAGATACAAGATTTTTGAGGTTATACACGCGCATAGCCTATGTTTTACGACACGGATGACACGCTTGTAACGTATTACACAATTTTCTCCGTTACGAAGTCAAAGAAATGAGGCACATCGTAGCTAATAAGAATCCTAGTCACGAATCGTGCGATTAGGACCGTTTTGGAATGCAAGTTTCCTTCTTAAATTCTACATGACAATCATCTTGGGAGGTTCTCTACGTTTTGATTACATTTTATATTATATTTTCTGGATTTTTTTTTTTTCTATAAATTTAATCATATTATTTTTGCTCAAATAGATATTGTATCTAATTTTTCAACTTTTTTATTAAATTCTGCACAAATTTTTCGATCGAAATTTAACAGCGTGATATTTTTATTCGATGAAAAAATATAAAAGTATATAAAAAAAGAAAAGAAATAGAGAAAATAGAATTTCTATCCATTATATTTTGTTTGATTCGTTCTCGAGGCTAGAAATATTGAGAAACATACATACATACATACATATATATATATATATTTTTTTTTTCCTTTTTTTCTTAATCGCAGTTCAACGATGAATGCTCGAACGATGACGCCGTCACTTTCTCCCTCGTAACTATTTTTCACTTTCAACGTGCGTACGCGCTCGATGGGGAGCATTTCTCCGTTGTTAAGTATCAATTTATTCGAATCCGTGTTGGGGCAAATCGATTATCGTTAAAATCATGATCGATTATAACCGATCCTTTTAAAGAGAAAATTACCAGCAATTTTATCTTGCCACTCGAACCTCTTCACCTGTTAAACATCGGTATCGACGATCAAATTGTCATCGAGATAATAATAATTAATGTGCCCCAATCGAATTTTCTTGATTTCGTCACTTTTTTGATAATGGATTTTTTTTTTTTTTAATTATTGTTGAAATTTCTTTGTCGTTGTTAAAATTTCTTTGTCGATTATCTACGATGTTGTTATATGAAAGTCATGTAGATTTTTATGAAAAAATCATTTGACAGAGAAAAGATCGCTATACATATTTTAGAGCAATCTTTTATTTACACGTATTTTTTTTTTATACGTATACGTATAAATGTCAATTTAATTTCTTTTAACGAAGAAAAACCACTACATTTTGATAAAACGGTAGTTTTGCAATTACACATTAATTTTACGATTATATTATCATTTACTTAGTAAATAATTAGTCAAATATCTTATTATAGCATTCTATTACGTGTCGGCTGAGAGATAATAAATGTGATACTAAATTGTCACTTATCCACTTTTGATCATTAATTCATTTGTCTAATTGCAAACTATTAAAAATTTCACCTTTTAACCTTTCCCTCCGTTGAGAAATGTCTTTCCTTTTTTTTTTTTTTTTTCATTC